GAATTCATTCCTTTAGTGTATATTGATGATAATATACTGATTTTGGTTAGATTCGAAGCATTTGGAGACGAGTCGAGAGGCAAGGGCATCGCGGGTTAGAGTTTTGTCCGGTTTGAGGTAAGTAATGACTGTAAATCTTGTCCTGAGGATATGAAACCCCAGATTTCACATCGTTTCACTATTTTTGAGGTGACGCGCATGCTAGATGACGAGCGTGAGGGCGTGCACCGTTGGGGATTGTGACTTGGTCCGTCCCGTAGCAACTATTAAGTTGCGTACTTGACTGAAAAATATTTGATACTTATATGTTTTGGAAAGTATTACTATGTTTTGGGCTAAATGCCATACTTGGCCTCGTGCCAAGCTCTTTGGACCCTTAGGGGCTTTTTACTACTATTCCTCACTGCTTTGATTTAATATCTGTACTCAGTCATGCTATGTTTTTACTCATTTCATAACTCGGTCTTATTTACTCCATTTTGATACATAAAATGATATTTTGGGCTGAGCACCCTCTTTTACTGATAGCCCGAGTGGCTTGAGAGGCTTCTGACTGAGTGAGGCCGAGAGCCTGTGTTGTGAGGATATTATGGGATCGGATTGCGCGCCGCAGCATGTTGTACTGATTTGTGATATATGAGAGGCTGAGGGCTTGACTTATTATGCCATAAGATGGCTTGTTATAGCTCTTGGGCTGTAGGAGCCCCTCCGGAGTATGTACACCCCCAGTGAGCGCGGGTAGCCTGAGTGAGTGATTGATGTTACCCGAGGGGCTGTTCTTGATTCATGTTGTGCCCAAGGGGCTAACTACGAGTGATTGTGAAGTTGCCCGAGGGGTTGATTCCGAGTGATGTTATGCCCGAGGGGCGGTTTGTGATACGTGTTTTGCCCGAGGGGCTAATTATGATTTTCATCATTTTTACTCTAAACTTCATTGAACCTCTATTGAAATTGTTGGAAAAATATCTTCAAAGGAATTTTTATTGAAATTGGATTTTAACGAGATGATTTGATTTACATACTGTTTTGGAAGCATACTTACTGTGATGTTATGATGTGGATTTATGTGTTTCTTACTGCTCAGTCTTTATTTACTTTTATTACTTACTGAGTTGGCGTACTCGCATTACTCCCTGCACCTTGTGTGCAAATCCAGGAGTTACGGGTCATGATAGCGAGCGCTGATCCTTCATCTGTCGCGGATATTTGGAGCCGGTGAGGTAGCTGCATGGCGATCGCAGCCTTGCTCTTCTCCCTCTTATCTTCCTTAGACTATATTAGTGTTTTCCAGACTGTGACAGTCTTAGTTGTATTCAGACAGTCCTTAGTAGATGCTCGTGACTTGTGATACCCCGATGTCGGGCCTTTGTTCTTTCCGCACTTGTTATTTAGACTTATGCTGTGAAGTTTTATTAATTAATAGCTTAAAACATCTTATTTATGAAATATCGATTTGTTTTGGGATTGTGTCGGCTGGCCTAGTTTCATGACAGGCGCCACCACGACCGGGTTAGTTTTGGGGTCGTGACAAGTAATGAATCATAGCTCGATCTTACACTTCTTTATTGTATTTTTCTTGAACTTTTTTTTTCTTCTTTCATGCTACGCACAACAATTCTTCTATAATTATTCCTGCAAAATAAGTTAAGAATATGGAGGAAACATGATAATTTATATATTTTTATGAGAGAAATTATGAGGTTAGGATCAGGTAAAATGTACTTATCAGCGAGCCAGACTTCGCACCCCCTGCCAACTTCCGCAATTGAGACCAGGTACCTCACAAATGTGAGGCTCACAAATGTGAACTGATTCTCTGCGAGGCCTGCAGCACCAGCAAAAACCAACAAAAATGAAACAAGCCCAAAACATCTCGAAACACGTCCGAAACTCACCCAAGCCCCGGGACTCCACACTTAACATCCACACAAGTCTACAAATATCATACGAACTCGCTCGCGATCTCAGAATATCAAATAACATCCGGAATCACAAATCGAACACCAAAATAGATCGAATTCACAATGAAACTCAAAAGCTTCTAAAATCACAACCAAGCGTCTGATTCCTATCAAACCAACTCGGAATGACACCAAACTTTGCACACAAGTTTCAAATTAAAATATAAACCTATTTCAAGTCACGAAACCAAAACCCAAACCCGATTGCCACAAAGTCAAACCATGGACAAACTTAAAAGATTTCTAAACCTTCAAATTGCCAATTTTCGGCAAAAAGAGCTAATTCATCCTAGGAACCTCAGAATTCAATTCTGGGCATACGCCTAAGTCCAAAATCACAACAAACCTATTGGGACCATCAAAATACCATTCCGAAGTCTTTTTCACAAAAGTCAAATTTGGTCAACACTTCAAACTTAAACTTCGAAACTAGGAAATAAATGTTCCAAATCAATCCAAAACCTCCCCGAAAACGAACCAACCATCCCTGCAAGTCCTATAACTACAAATACACATACAGGAAGCTTCAAAAGGAAAAACGGGGCTTAAAGACATAAAATAATCGGCCGGATCGTTATATTATCGTTTATGCTTCCCATATTATATGTACTAAGCCGGATCTTATCATCTCATCCTTTGAAAGAAATTTAACTTCGAATTTAAATCTTCAAATAAAAGAAAGGAAGCTTCCTTTTGTAAGAACTCACTTTGAGCACAAATAAGCTTCTCAATCAAACTAGTAAATCTATTTGCATACTTTTATGGTAAACCTAATCATCCAAACAAATAATAAAAACTAATTTACCAATCAAGTCAAAACCGAATAGAATAAATGGACAAAACAAAGTATAAGAGCCAAGCAAGACATGAAAGGTAGTGTGAATCAACTCAAAACTATAAACTAAGTGTGTCCCAATATAAGAATCATCAATAAAAGGAACAACTCTCATAACCTTAGTAAACCCATGCATAAGCATAAGCCAAGTAAATTAACTGTATTTCAATTAAAGTAGACATGAAATATTAGAACTAAGAATAGTACCTTCAAACAATTCAAGTCTTTTGGCTTCACATAAGGTAGCATCCAAGAAATATTTAACATGTTTCTCTCTAAACTCATCACTCTAATTCACAATAAAGTTATCATCTTATTTAGAACCGAAGGCATTACAGTAATAGAACAAATTAGCTCTTTCAAACTTACAAATGGAAAAAGCAAGAGAGATTACACTAATATCATATCTAGTAAAGATTTTTTTTTTCCTTTCATAACTTCATCTTTCAAAATAACTCCATTAGTATCGTCAATGGACTTCTCAAGAATGGATCAATTCACAATTGGCATTTCCTTATTAAACTCAGAGATTGCATTTCACAATCAAACAATTTGGAGACAAGAGGATCAATAGGCTTCAAAACTGGAACTTTACCAATCAATTCACTCTCCAAAGTAACATCACCAGTTAAATAATGATCCTCAAAATAAAAAAGGTATACAAAATAAAAAATAATGGATCAAACTCATCAAAGTCATATAAAAATGCAATCTTTACTCTTTTTGCAACTTCACGCAATGTTTCTTCAAGCAAATAGGTCATTTAAACCATCAAATCAACTAGAATCACCGTCTAGTGTATCTCCACAACTTAAAGAATAATTAAAATAAATATATAAGTATCAAGCTAAAACATAAAATATCATTATGCTCATCACAAAAATAAAGAGTGTTACTAAGAAATCTTACCTTGATGCTCTTCTAAAGATTCTATTTTACTGCCTTCAAGAATGAAAGTATATTCACTTTGTTCCATTTGAGTTCTTCTTCAAAGGATCTACACAATAAGCCAAAATTATCAAGGAAAGCATTAGTAATAAAAGAAGCGCATGAATGATGTTCTTCAGTCAAAATCTCTTGTTATCTCTCTTATTTCTTTTTATTCTTCTCTCCAAAATTTTTCTTTTCCTGTTTCCCTCTAACTCAATTTTTTTTAGATGCTTATAATCTTCACTCACTTGAAATGGAGTCAAAGGATTATAGACTATCATCTTGTCATTTTACTCAAAAGAATACTTGTTAGTCCTTTTATCATGTAAAGCACCTTTGTCATATTATCACGGTCTTCCCTAAAATTGATGACATGCTTGCATTGGAACCACATCATAAAGGATCATTAGAATATTTTTTAATTTTGAAACTCACCAAGATTAGTCTAGTTACATTAAGTTCACCATATTCACTAAGGCATTGGAGTCTATGAGAGTGAGTATATCTTTGAATCTTCAAATTTATCATTTCAACTATAGAAGCACTAGCCAGATTTGTGCAACTACCACTATCGACTATTAACGAGAATACTTGATATTCAATCTTACCGTCCATAGAGCAAGCCATTTGTTTTATAATCTTCATCATTTGGGTGTTCAACACTCTCCTAAAAATATATAAAGACAAACTAGGAGTGCCGTTATCTCCTTCTCGATAGCTTTCAGCCCCATTTTTTTCACATGGCTCTCTACTTTCTTCTCTTTCATAGACTTATTCCATTAGAATTATAGTTCTTCTATTAGAATATTTACTCATTCTATGACCATAACCTTGACATTTAAAATACCTAGTAGAATTGAAACTTTAGAAATAAGGTTTAAAGTTATTACCTCACTCCTTAGCCTCCATATTTAGACTTGCCTTTGTCATTTTGCCATATGGAGTCAACCTTTGGCTTACTTTCATTTGAAGAAGCTTGCCAAATTTCTTTATTTTCGCTGAATGAAGTGTCGTAGCACTTAGACTTGCTTTGTTAAGTTGCTTCTCCTCTTGAAGTTTCAAGATCTTGATGGCCCCTTAGAGTGCTTGTGAAAAGTCATTTGGCTAGAGAAGGGGTATATTTGAATTATTTGTGTAACGGCAAGAATATTTTTGTGCCGAAAATATAAAGAGGATAAAATTGACCTTTTCGAATAGTAATAAGTGTATATTTGAACCTTTTCCCTTATTTTGTTAAATAATAAATACTAACACACTGGTCAAAAAAATTATTGGCTTTTCTTAAATACCCTATTCCTATTGATAGGGGTAGTATTATTTTCTCAAAGTTTATATCCCTTTCCCCAAGCAATCCATGACCATGCCCAAGGAGCAAGAAACCTCAACAATTGTCTAAAACCCTAAACCCCAAACATTTAATCGCGAAAAACTCCACATATAGCTAGAGAAAATTGGGGTTTTTCTAATCATCTTCAGATAAAATAAGATGGATGCAATAGCAGCAGCAGAAGAGAGAATTATGACAGAAAGATTAAGGCAGAAACTCAACGAAGTGAATACAGCCGCCCAGACCCAACTCTCCGGCGTCCAAGATTATGTCCATTTTAACCTTCAGGTTTTAAATTCTCTCTTCTTTTTTTTCACAAAACTTATATGCATATGCGACTGGGTTTATTAGTAATTTTGGGGTCTTTTGTTTTTTGTCAGCAAGCATACTTCAAATGTGCGTATGAGTGCTTTGACAGGAGGAGAAAACGAGAGGAGATAGATAACTGTGTGGAGTATTGCAGTGTTCCCGTTCTTCAGGCTCAGAATCTTGTTGAGAATGAAATGGCCAATTTTCAGGTATAATTTACTGCTTGTACCTAAAAATTAAAATGTGTTGTCGTTGCTTTCGTTTTCTGAGTTATTCTTGAGCCGTTATTGGTCATGCTTATTTTCCAATATTAAACAGAGTTTGGAAATATATTAGAGATGGTAATACTAATATGATCATTTAAAATGTGTTGTCGTCGCTATGTTTTCTGAGTTATTCTTTAGCCATGTTTGGTCATGCTTATTTTCCAATGTTAAACAGAGTTTGGGAATAGATTAGGGATGGTAATACTAAAAAGATCATTTTATCAACAACTAATACACAATAGTGTATAATAATAAAAGAAAAGATAGAGTTTTGGATAGGAAAAATCGTTTCGAGACACCCTATGGAAGGTGTTGTTCCATCGCTACCCAGATGCGCAACTAACAAAGTGACATCCTATTCCCAAGATACACGAATCACCCAGCAATCTTCTAATGTGCATTCAAATAGAAGTTTCGGAGAACTCTTAAATTTGTCAACTACTTTTATAGGAATTTAGAATTGAACGAAGAAAAAGGACTCTTGAAGAGAGTGACAATATGAAGATTTCTTTTGTAGAATTTCTGCAAAGTGGGATATGTATTCATAGAAATTCAACAAGGTAACTAACATACCTTTTAAAGAATGTTACCCTTAAAGATTGGATGACAATTGACACCTTTTCACGAAGAATATATCTATCATTTAAAGAATGGGTAGAATGGGTAAGACCCTTCCACAAAATAGTATCTTGTCCAAAATGCATTTTCACTCTTGAATCACCTTCTAAATAAATACCAACAGTGGCAAAGGTTGAGAGACTTATGACTTAGGTCACATGTTTGAGCCCCGCAGCCTGCGAACTAAACTTGGTATTTAAGTGGAGAAGGGAAGAGGGGGAGACCTTTTATCATTGAGTTTTGCTATCTATCTATCTATCTATATATATATATATATATATATATATATATATATATATAGTGTCTTGCTAACCTGCTAAATGAAGGTAGTAGGTTAGTATTTTACCCATTTTTACTTTCTCTAAATACCCGTAGCAGCATAATATTGTAGCATACATATTAATAAATGGGATTTTGTGTCTTTATACAGAAAAATTAGACCCAACACTTCTCTCCCTCTTTCATTTTTCCCTTTCAAAACTTCTTATTTGAAGATGGCATCAAATGGAGATGGATCCACTTGGAGATTCTATTCATAGGGTTCATTCTGACATAGTTCTTCCTTCGTGTCTCGCCTTCTCAAACTATGGTCGTTCTTCAGATTTAGTTCAAATCCCCTTTCCATTTCTATATTTACTTGTTGTCTCCTGAATCTTATATTAGGATGGTGTTTTCGAGAATAGAATAGTAAAAAGACCTGGGATTATATTTTCGTGCAAATACAACCAAAATGAATGTTGTCCGGTTCTCATGACATTGAATAAAGATTTACTGTTGCACTAATGGATATGGTTCTGTAACCCAACATAAATCTTTAAGGCACTTAAAAATAAATCGAAAAATTCCCTTCAGTGAAAAGGCTCTTAAAAATAAATCGAAAAATCCCCTTCAATGAAATCCGATAGTGCTATTTATTAGTTGAATTTGTTCAGTAAAGCTTGAATTTAGTTGAATTTGTGGAGAGGACGGAAGGAATAAAGGAGAGAAGAAAAGAGATTAAAAAAGGCATCTGATGGAGGATGAGGATGAGGGGAGGAGAATGAGATGTTTAGTTTATTAGTGGAATGACAAAGGAGCCCCTTTTATTAAAACATTGTGAATGTGATATTTGGGGTATTTTGGAGAAAGCAAAAATGGGTACAATGCAGGTAGTATATATATATATATATATATATATATATATATATATATATATATATATATATATACATATATATATATAGTAAAAGCGTTTAGGATGAAGGAAAATGTTTTCATTATGAAATATGTTTTGGTGGAAATCTTTTACAGGGAAAAATCATTCAATCTATTATTTTCCAGCGTTTGATTAGGTATAAAAATAGGTGATCTATGGCAGATACAAAAAGTAGTATAGGGTATAAGGATAGTGTTTTAGAGATTTTTTCTTAGTATCAATTAAAGTTCGGCAATAGTGTCTAAATGTTAGTAGATGCGATTGATATGAAGAAAGGGTTTCAATGTCTATCAAGTATAAAGGAAAATGACTTCTGCCCATATGCGATGGAAGTCATTTTCACTCTTTTGGTGAATACTTTTTCTCATAATTTATTGGTATCCAAACACCAGAATATTATGAAAAATATCTATTTGGAGAGTGTTTCCAATCATTGCAGCTGACTTAACTCTGCAGGTAGATTACTCTTTTTCTTGGTCTACATTTTCTTTCATGTTGTTTCTGTAAATACACTTGAGAAAATGGGTATGTCATATGCATGTTCAATCTTAGCATTTTATGAGCCAATGTTACTTCAACTTACAAGTAAAGTAACCTTAAGATAGCAGGCAATACATTACGGTCTTTAGTCTGTTGGTTATAGTGATCACTATAATGAAGGGGGGTGAGGTACATTCATATGCTTGGCAAAAAATGTTTAGAGCTTTATGAATGCCATATTAGGGGTGCAAATGGTAAGGAGAAAAGCTAAAAGATTGACCAAGTAGGGGAAAGAATTAGGACAATTCCTTTCTCAATGTTCAGAATTCAGATGAGGGGGCCAGAACCTTGATTTTTGCTTTCTTCAATATTTGAAATTAGTTTCAATTTTGTCATTGCTGTTGGTTACTAATAGTTTCTTCTTTATGAACAGAAGAGAAATTAGAGAGATAGAGAAACATGGTCCATGAAGATTGATATAATCAACCTCATCTTACTTGGGATTGAGGCATAGTTGTTGTAGAAGAAGTTAGGGAAATGGGAAATGAACATGGAAGACATAAATGTCCATATATTATACAATGGAGTTGGATTTGGAAGTGTTCGACATGAGGTAAAATATATTGTGGGGATCATTTTCTAGTGTTTTTCAATTAGGTACCAAACTAGATACATATGGTAATCAACAAAGTGAATGATATGGTATAGGGATATTCTGCTGTCATTTTTGAGTAATAAAGGTTAATGACAACGTCAATGTGTTGGTTGAAACAAGTGATATAGAGTAAGAATTGAAGCATCAGTAAAGGAATATGACTTCCATTCATAGTGACGGAAGTTATTTTCTTCATCTTGTTGGAAAATATTATTTGCTGTACCAAACACACTCAGGAGATAGATTGGACTATACCAATTGTGAAGGAATTTTGTATTGCAATTTTTGTAGTGTAAGTTCAGAATTGGGGTGCTTATTTGTTCATTTGTTCCCTTTTTCTTTTTGGATTGCATAGTAATTTGTGTTTGCAATGGGCTTGCACATGGATCAAATCTGTTTTCCTTTTATGTTGTAAAGAGTGCTCAAATCATTTTAGGTTGTATCCCTGATGTGCAATACAGGTTTGTCCTCTTTTTGCTTATTGAAAAGAAAAACAGTTGATCCAAAATAAAAAGGAAAGCAAAACAAAAAGAAACAACAGATTGAATAAATAAGAAAGCTGGCCGAAAGCTTTTTTTAGGGGGTGGGGGTGGGGGTAGGGGTTGCTTTGCCTAGCATGAAGAATTAGGATGACTTTAATATTTAGGGATGTAGCATGTTGAACCGGAATTCTGCATTGCCTTGTAAGTATGTCGTCAGCAATTTGCGAGTTGCTTTTATTCTTGCTTATAACTGAAGCTTTATGAAGATGTAGTTGTTCTATAATGCCCATATTTGATCTTTTATTTCTTCTTTTATTAAGAACTGATATCTTTATTCAGAAGAGCAAAGCAAAAGCTACTCTGTGCTTGTTATTTGAAAAAGAATTGGCTGTTAGAACTTAGAATCAAGGGCCTTCAACTTTTTTGGGAATATTATCAAAAAGGCTTCAAATTATTCACTTGAAAAATTGAAACCCTAATTTATTTCCTTATGATTGAATTTATCCAGAAAAAAGATCGAGTGTCTTCATGTCCTTAACATGCACATCACGCCCAAACCCACCGTCCCCTCCAAAAAAGTTCCAACTGCTGGCTATCCTCAGAAAAAAAAAAAATGTAAATAAATAAAAAAAAAGAGAGAAAAAATAGTTAACTTGTCAACTTATCTTTCTGACAAGTGACATGTATTGCATTGAAATATGTAAATTGACAAGTCCTTCGGGGAAGATATAAAATTAGTAGAATAGTTCATCTGAAATTAGTTAGATATACTCTAATGCAAGAAATATGAATAATTTGAACTTTGAGACTAATCCAAAATTACTTGCATATTATATTTCAGTCTTGCCATTAATTTTCACTTGTTTTTTCATATCTTGTTGTCAGTACCTTATAACGTTTCTTGATGCTATATTACTGATAAAAAAGAAGGATTCTTGATGCTATTAATTTATCACAAAAACAAAAAAGGAAAAAAGTGGTATTCTTGATGCTAGTGTCTTCATCTCCTTTTAAAAAAAAAGTCTTATATCCTCTCTTTTGCCTGCTCGTTGACATATATCTACTTTTCTTCTCTTGATCATTTGAACTCAGTAGTATATTGGCTCTGAAAAAAAAATCAATTCACCCTCATGTGATGATTTTCGTCTCCTTTAGGAGATTTAGGGCATACTATAGCTTCTAAATTGCCTCCATTTATATTAGCATGACTGTTCTGGTTGAACTGGCACCTTTCTCCTGATTTTGATATTACAAAAAGTGGGTGGCTAGCCTTGTAAAAGTTGCTGACTGATCCGTTCCTGTTTTTGGCTTGTTTCTCCATAATTTATTTGTCCATTTAACTCCTGTCCTTGGCCTAGCCATTATTCCCCTGCCCAACCTGTATCCTTCCTCCTATCTCCACGGGAGGGGGATGTTATTTATAATTTGACACTGATGTCTATAATCTCAACTGAGGAGATTTAGTAGTTTTGTATTGTCGTGTGATATTTTGCTGATAAAAAAGGTCTGCAGCATAATTGATTGCCCAATAATACGATAATTGGTTTATTAATTCGTTATTTGAGCAAGCATTTTGATTGTGTTGCTGAATGTAATGGGCGCAGGAAAAGATGAATAGGTCTCTAAGGGTCTGCCAAGACAAGTATGAGACTGCTAAACTCCAGAAAAACAGTGATGCCACGAAGGTTGTGGAATCATGCGTAGACCAATCTGTTCAAGACAGCATTAAGACATTGCCACATCTGGTTGGTAAATTGAAGGTTTCTCTTGGCGTTACTGATTAGAGAAATTTAGCTTGCCTTTTACTTGAAGATATAGGCCTTTTCTTTTAACTTCTCATATTATGTTGGTTTTGGTTAAATGAATGCTGAGAATAAGTCAAAGGAGGCATATGAATAAAATCCCGAGGTATACCCACAAACTCTTTCATGAGCTGTACTCAAACCAGCATATCTGGGAGCAAAAGACAGAAAGCAGCTCGTCAGGGAGTGGATGAACAAGCAACAGAGTCGGTGTCGGTATAGTAAGACTTATATCTTGCTTGTTGTTATAATTGTATTGATCAAAATGCTGACACTCATTACAGAATCATCATTCCTTCAGTTATTTTCTTTCAGATAAATGTGATCCAATGACCATCTCAAATTGCCTGAAATTTAGCTGGTAGTGATGATTGACCAGCCAGGTGTTGACCTTATAATCTACAACAACTATGCCTCAGGCTTATGCAAGTTGGGGTGGTTATATGAATCCTCACTGCTTATTTCACTCAATTTAAGGTCGTCTCACTCAATTTTAGTTTCTCTACCACTAGAAGTTCATGCGATCCATGTTTGATTATAAGAATGACAGCTCTCATCTCCTACAACACAGGTTAGAGACCAAGCAATATGCATCTTAGTCAACGAATGTTGTCGCCAGGGGCGGACCCACGTGTTATTAATTGGGTTCAGTTGAACCTGCTTTGTCAAAAAATAATAGTGTATATTAGTAAATTTCTGGAAAATATATAGTATAAGAAAAGCATTTGAACGCACTTGATGCGTGCATGCCCTCTATGAACGTGGTCATGCGGGTTCAATGTTAAGTTCTTTCCACAGTTAGTGTATATTTAATAGAGGTGTTAATCGGGCCGGGCTGACCCACTAACAACCACCGGTTCAACCCGGGTCAGCCCGGTCCAGCCTGTTACTGTAGACTATAGCGCGGGTTGGGACGGGTTGGGCGGGAGGCGGGCTTGTAACGTCCACCTTTTTTTAACGGGTAACCGAACCCGCTACAACCCCTTAAGTCCTTAACGGGTTCTTAACGGACTACACCCGTTTCAGCCCGTTAATCCGAAATTTTGTTTTGTTTTGTTTTTTTTTTTTTTTAAAAAAAAAAATCTGACCGTTGCCAACGGTCTAATACCAAAAGGGACCGTTGGCCAACATTTATTTCTGCCCATAACAGCCACTTTTTGGCTTTTTATTTATATTTTAGCCCCCCACCTCTTATTATTTCTAAATTGCAATTGTAGCCTTTTAAAAACTATAAATACCCCTTTCTTCTTCATTATTCCTCACAATTCAATTCATTTTCTCTCTAATTCTCTCTTGATAATATTCTCAATTACTCATTATTTCAAGCTTTCAACTTTCAAGTTTCATCAAATATTTAGTTTAGTCATTATAAAAGTATTATTATCATAAATTTCAAATTCAATTATTCAAGTGAAGTGTGGCATCAATTTCAAGACTTCAAGTTAAATCATGCCCCGTACTTCTAGAGTGCGCTCATATGTTTAACGCTTTGAGGTGTTAAGAAGAAAATGAAGAAGCTCGAAAATTAAAGTGCAAGAACTGTGGTTTAGTCATAAATCATCGTCCAATGTGTGGCACTGCCTCTTTAAGGAGGCATATCAAGAGTTGTCTTGAGCGTACTCCAGAAGTTCGTCTTTTAAGTTGATTTGAGACAATTTGTGTTATTTTAAAATTATTAGACGTATTTATGCTTAATGTTTTAGCTTGTTAGATTAATTTGAATTTTGAAGTATTATTAATTTATTATGCATGAAAATGTAGTTTTACTCTTTTTCGTTAATTTACTTGTTAAATGTAAACATCAATTTTGTAAATAATTTGCCTATTGGTCTTATTAAATAATTCTTTGTAGCCACTTACTTTCTAATTTTAAATTTTCAATTTTATTTTTATTTTAGCCACTTAAAAGTTCAATTCTAATCTTTAATTTTAACCCTTAAAAGTTTGCAAACACTTAAGTACTTAACTATCAATAACATTGAAAAAGAAAAATATAACTTAATTTAAAACAAAAAAAATTATATATATATATATA